TAAAATAAAAATCCAAAAAAAAACTGAAAACAAACTTAAAATTAGAAATAAAAACTAGAAACTAACATTTTTTTTTTTTTAAACCACCTCTACCTTTGCCATATGTCGGGCGTGGGCATCTAGTAGCCTACTCCTGAAAAATAGCCATCGCGCCGCCGTTGATATTTTCCATCGACGGTGCGCTGCAGCCGAATTTGAATTTGAGGCCTGCGGTCCCACATATCAGAAAGGTAGTTGTGGTTTAAGGCCTTTGGGAGATTCGTTAAAAGTGGAACGATACAGAGAAGACTAGCATGGCCCCTGCGCAAGAGATGCCACACATAAATCAAGAAATGTTCAAATGTTCCTTTTTTTTCTTTTCTTTTTTTGGGGGGCCCGGCCGGGCAAGTGGTCCCGGGCCGCTCTGGTAACCTTCCCCCCTCCCAACCTCCTGCTCAGTCAATCCCCTGGGCCCCAGGGTAATCAATGCTGGCAGGAATGTACCACACTTTTTTTCCTGATGCGATTCAATGTGATTGGAACTATGTCTATGTAAGGGGCGCTGGACCCGGTTTCCAGCAGGTGCTGCTCCCCACCAATAGATGGAGCCCTGCCCAGGTGCTAGCGGCGTCTGTTCTGAATAAAACATATATATATGAGTCGGTGAAACTCCGACGAAACAGTTTGTCACAGCCCCTCGTTTGTTGTCCTCTTCTCTCTCTCTGCCTACGGTTTACCGGGCAGTTCTATTTGTGACGATATATATTGCATTTTATTTCTTTTAATTCATAGATTAAAAAATGAGAGTGAAAAGACCAGCACCACTAGCACCGACGGGTGGGTTTAAAAAAAAAAAAAAAAAAAAAAAAAAAAAAAAATAAAAAAGGTTCCACTGGATAAAAATCCAGTGGAAACCTTGATCATGTGCGCAAGTCAATGCCAATGGAACAAGGGATATGTTACCAGGAAAGGGAGATTGGGGGATGCCTATATTCACCTCTCAGCCAAAGGGAGCCAAGGATGGAGAGGTGAGGGGTGAGGGGAGGAGGGGGGAGAGAGCGAGGGGAAGAAGCAGAGGGCGAGGGAGCGATAATACACAAGCTACACAACAATTTTTTTTTTTTTTTAACAAACCAGTGTCCTTGCTAGGAGAGGTGGTGCGAGCACTCCCTCCTCGCAAGAGTCCTGGGTGCTCCGGTCTATTGGTGGGGAGCAGCACCTGCTGGGAAGCGGGTCCAGCGCCCCACTATACATCAGAAGTTCTGCCCCGTTTCCAGGGGATAGACTGCGCAGGGTAAATGATAGATGTGTTGGACAACGGCACACTTTGGGGCGTGGGGCAGCCTCTACGGTCTACGGTCTGCGCCAGACTGCCAGATCCCTCTCGTTTCCCTAGCAGCTACGCCCTGCTTCTTCTAAGTAGCACAGCCTCCTATGACCAGCTACCAGCCCACCCTATAGCACTTTTTTTTTTTTTTTTTTTTTTTTTTTTTTTTTTTTCCAGCACTAGCTACACAACAAATTGTATTTTTTCAATTCTGTCTTTCTACATGCAATGCGAACCCCAATGGAAATTTCAATGAAAGTTCAATGAAAGTTCAAATGCCACATTCCAGGATGACTGTGTTGTGCTCCACCTTTCAAACGCCCCTGAGCACATTCCCGACGTGTACTATTTCTTGACCGAATCTGGCCTCTATTGTGTAGAAATACATCCAAAACATTCCCATCGTGCACTCCACCTCACACTGCATGCTCCAAAAACTCAAAACCTGCCAAACAACTGCGCACATACTCAGATTTGCTTCCCCCCCCCGTTTTTTTTCTCTGACAGCACCTTCCCTCAATTATGGGCAAAGACATCCCACTTGGCCTGTCTTCACCCGAACAAAAGGCCCGGTCATTACAGCTGTACATAGACTGAAAGTTGCCCCACATACAGTCGCAATGACCGGGCATTCTATAGGGGTGAACACAGGAGTCGGTGGGCCAAGTACTCCACAGGCTCTACCTGACATTTCACACTCCAACCATGCAAAAGATGTCAAACGCCTTCGGACGTACACAAGTTTATATTTTGTCACCTGAACCTGACCTCAGTTCTGCAAATATACATCCAAAAAATTCATACTGTGTACAGGCGAAGTGTTCCATACAACCAGCATTCACTCCCAACAAGCATCTAGTTTAACACAGGGAATGAATGCATTAGGGGGGAGAAAAAAAAAAAAAAAAAAACAGGGAACGAAGGCATTAAGAGATCAACGCTCTCTCTCTCTCTCTCTCTCTCTCTCTCTCTCTCTCTCTCTCTCTCTCTCTCTCTCTCTCTCTCGTCTTTTTCTTCTAAAGTTTTTGTAAACGTTCTGCAATCTTTTTTTTTCTTTTTCTATTTTTAATCCATGTCGTAGTAGAGGGTGGATGGTAGGCCTCGGGAGGTGCCTGTCGTCGTACTCAACCACCGAGGGGATCAGATGGCTTGTAACAACCCCAGGGACAGTCTTTCTCCAGGGGGCATCATTCGTGACCTATTATATCCTACAGTCCAAGGAATTTTGCCCCAGTAATCCGTTTGAACGTTTAAATATATTCTACTCATATTTCAATTCACAAGTATTACATAAATCCTAAGTCTCCAATTAAGTGGGGCTTATTAGAGAGTCCTCTTCCTATCCAACGTATATATAGCAAATTGCGCTCTTTTAGTTCATAGTTATGTGACAATATATAGCTTGAGCCCTATAGCGGTGCGAGCCAGACCTCTCTATCTAGACCTAGACCTACCCCAACCCGCAACTTCCGAGGAGCCACAGGCACCCCGGGTGCTACCATACGGACACCCCGAACCCTCGAGGACGACTCGGGTACAGGCTGAATGAACCTTTATCACATCATGCAGACTCTATGGGTACCGAGCCACCCTTCTACATCCAATGCGACAACCCACTCTTCCCTTGCCTACGATGACACCCTTCCCTACCGAATGGATTTGTGGATACTTCAACATGTGTGCAGTGTGCTCATTCATCGAACTTTGTATTTTGGAAATGTGAACAGTCCCAACAAGCAAGCCGTTCAGCACGGGGACTCTCTCCTCTTTTTCTTCTTCCGTCACCGCCTGAACGAATCCGGCACATTTCTTGTGCTAGATCCTTCCTGAATCCCTGCTGTATCCTGCATTGAGTTGTGCTCCACAACCCTGGAGTGTTCGCCAGCAGCTCACGGGCGACTCATTCATCATACAGCATGTCTGCCAACCAGCTGACGGTGCAATCGTGTTTTTTTTTTTTTTTTTTTTTTTTGGGAGGCGCAGTGAGTGGGCAAGGGGCGGCGGGGAGGGAGATGGTGAAACGTTGATGTAACAGAGTTTTTACTGTAGGGACAAAAAAAAAAAAAAAGAAACCCTCCCGAGTTCCAGCAAACAGACAGAAGCAAAGGTCAATAACCGCACAAATTCTCTTTGTTGGAATCCCTTGATGCTCGGAAGCACCATAGCTTCACTTACTTAGGGTGTACTCGCGCTAGCTCCATCTCTTTCTTTCTCTTTCTTTGAAGCACCATAGCCCGTGAGCGCGTGCGCCTGGCATGCAATAGCGCCGCAGCGCTTGCGCACAAAGCAGCCAGTGCCCCAATGCCTCTCGCGTGGGCTGGCCCTTTCCTATATGGAAATGGCCAGCCTGCATGCGTGCAGCCTGGCTGTGCTGGGCCTTTCCCAAGAACCTTCCAGTAGGTCCCAGTAGGCTGAGGCCCAGTCCAAAAGAAGCAGGCCCAGGGCCTGTGGTGGTTACTTGTGCCCAACTGCCCTCGGCCTCCGTTTGGCCCATATACCGTATCCAGCCCAGGGGCGGCCTTCCATACACATGCAAACAGGCGGCCTGGGGCTGGGTGCTCTCAACCAACTGGCACGGCACAACTGCCTGAATTTTCCCAAGTTGCGTTGTGGCCGAAATAAGGGCCCTCAGGCCCTCGTCGAGCCTGCCTTCACGTAGGGCGGCTGATGTATCACATGACAGGGCCGAAAAGAGGCTCATTGGGGCCTTGGCCTCGCACTACCATCTTCACTCGAGAATAACTCCCAGGTGTTCTATTCGACTCACCCTAAAAAGATTGCATTTTTGTTTTTACTCTCGTTTTCTCAAATAGAACACCCCTTCGAATAGAACACCCGGGCGGGATATTCAAATAGAACGCCCGGGCGTCATATTTGAATGTTCCGTGGGTTTGAAAGGGCGTTAAAAGGGGTTTTGCCTTCAAAGGGGCATATTTTGGTTGGATTTTTTATTTCCGAGTTTATAAGGAATTCTGTAGTGACCCTAAGCCAAAAGATGGTCGCACTGCAATTGTGGACAACATTTTTTTTTTACGGAATTATTTCATTTTATTTTTTTCGGAATTTTGGCCCCCCACCGCAGTTGCCACCAAATTACTGATTATAACGCCCGTGCGTTATCTTCAGGTGAAGACGGTAGCATCTATTTTTAGAAACTGAAGCTCAAGGCAAGAGAGCCTTCTTCACATTGCTGTGCCGGATCAGGCTGTCTCTTATACACATCTAGATGTGTATAAGAGACAGGCCTTCTTCACATTGCTGTGCCGGATCAATGGGAGCAGACATGGGGATGGAGAAGGAGATAATACAAACTAAGAAGAAGAAGAAAACGACGATGACGACGACGATGACGACGACGACGTCGACGGAGAAGAAGAAGAAGACGATGGGTCATGCGACTGAAGAGCATTGCCGATAGAGGGTCGTCGATAGAGAGGGCAGCCGCCGCAGGTTGCGGACAAAAAGGCTCACTGCGAAGATCTGGCGGCGATCGGAGAGCAGCCTTCAAGACGCGCCTTCSGCCCTCGCGTTCGTCGGCTCGCCAGTGTCATTTTAGAAGGATACACTATGTTCACTATGCGGATGACTAATTTTGCACAGAGATGGATGTTTTCCACAAACCACAAGGATATAGGTACTTTATATCTAATCTTTGGTGCAATTGCTGGAGTAATGGGCACACGCTTCTCTGTACTAATTCGCATGGAATTAGCGCAGCCAGGAAATCAAATTCTTGGTGGAATCATCAACTTTATAATGTGTTAATAACAGCTCACTCTTTCTTAATGATCTGTGCGCTGACGCTGAAGAAGAAGAAGACGAAGAAGAACAAGAAGAAGAAGCATACAAAGGAAAGAGGTGCAGGAAGGGAAAAAAACAAAGGCAGGATGGGACGAGGGGTGTAAAAAGTAATCAACAAGAAGAAAAGAGAAGTTTGAAAACGAAAAGAAAAGAAGGAAAGAGAGGGAAGGAGGGGGGAGGGGGGCGGGCGCAACTTCACAAAAGGAAGAGGAAAATGAGTCTAAACGACTTAAAAAAAGGCTAGTTCAAAAAAGAAGAAGGGTTGTGCAAGGAGAGGATGGGGCGGGGCGAGGGGGGGGGGATAAAAAAAGAGCGGCTAGTTAAAAAATAGAAAAGGAAAGAGCCTTTAAGAGAGGGGGAAAAAACAAAAAAAAAGACAGGGCAGGATGAGAGAAGCATTGTGGAAGGCAATCAACAATTTTATATTGTTGCGAACAACAACTCTCCGATTGGTGCGAGAAGGACCGTAAGGGAATCAAGAATTTCGCATTGCTACGAACCACTCTGCAATTGTTGTTGTGAAGGCCGTAGCCTCGCAACAATTTTTTTTGGGTTTTAACGTTCAAGAAAAAACTCGACGAATTCTATAATGTATATAATATATATGCCATATTGTAGTGCTTGGTGCAAAGGCGCTTCGATTCACGAGTGGAGCTATTTAGACTCCGACATCTCTTTCGACTTCCTTGCTGACGCCAGTACCGCATCCATGACAGTCCCTCTGAAGGCCCCCTTCTCCATCTCTCGAATAGCGGCGATCGTCGTCCCTGTATCATGCAAATGCATGTCGAATAAATCACCAAAGCCACAGTTAAGTAATCATAAGACGAGATTACCTACACGATGAAACAAGCATTTCAAAGGTGAGAAAAAGAGAATAATGGCCATTATGCAGCTCACTGTGTGCCTCCCTTCGTTCAATTATTTCGTTTCGCATTGAAGTAAAGGAACTGGGAACGGAACTGGAATGGAACGGAACCGGAATGGAAATGGAACTGGAATGGAAATGGAATTGGAATGGAACTGGAACTGGAACTGGAATGGAACTGGAATGGAACTGGAACTGGAATGGAACTGGAATGGAACTGGAATGGAACTGGAACTGGAACTGGAACTGGAACTCGATGTACGTTTTTTTTGCTACTTTTTGAACAGGCAGATTACCATAAAAATATAAAAAAAGTAGATTTAATCGTTTGTTTTTTTTCGAGCCTTCGAAAGAATTTTTTTTCTGTTTTTGAGTAAGTTTTTTGGTTTGCCAAACATTTTCCAAGATTTGTCGACAAGTTTTAAATGTTGAGACGCGCATTTTTGTCTATGTTGTGTCAGCGTTCTGTCAGCTGACGGAGTCACGTTTGAGGCTCCGCCTGACCTGTCTCCCGTTTTTTTTTTCTTTTTTCTTTTTTTTTTTCTGTTTTTCTTTACCCGACGTTGGAAATTTTGGGGACCAGTAGCACAGGTGCATGTGGGCTACCGGTAGCACAGTGTGCAGAACCGACAGAGCGATGAAAATGGAAAATGCGACGAATTGCCAGGAGACCTTGTGATGGACTTCCCTAGCGTATTGCTGCTGATCGGGCCGTCCCATACCGGCTTTTTGGCCCCATTTAGCCATACCGACTTTTTGGACCCAAATAGCCTGGCCAATTTGAGAAGACCCCTCACTTACGTTGTTAATGCACGGCCCTGGCCTTGCTGAAAATAAACCCGCTGCCCATCCGAAAAAAGTCAGTGTCGAGCCGCTGTTGATGAATTCCATCGGTGGCCTTTGTCGAGTTTCATGGCCGATGTATAGCGTGTACTGGTGTTTTAAAGCCCGAATAAGGAGCTGGAATGGGGCTGGAACTGGGACTGGGAATGGGACTGGGAATGGGACTGGGAATGGGAATACGAATGGAATTTTAAACCACCAGTACCTGCGTCCCTCTTTTTGCCGAGGCGGATTCCCCCTGTGGCAACAAAGGGAAAGGGAAACTGTCTGGCGAAGACAGTTGCAGCATGCGAACGGAGAGAAAGGAATACACCAATCCCACACGTGGTTAACAGGGACCCCCAGTCTTCAGCTCCTGAGTAACAGGTCCAAAACTGAAATTAGGGGTTGGGGGTGAAGTTTCATGTTTTTTTTTTGTTTTTCTTTTTGCCTGTTTTTGTCTTAGTTCAAGGTTGTTGTGTACCAAATTTGGTCTCATTTGGAGCATTTGCAAGGAAAATAAGCAAGAGCGAGATGACAAACCCAGATCACACCATCACATTGCAAGTCAAATAGTCACACCGTGTCCAGATAGCAGCCTTCCACCAATAATACACCAATGGAGTTTCGTAGCACTGAAAACCAATGTCCGTGGAGAGCACACTCTCTCCTCTCAACACAAGAGTCCAGTTCCCTTACACTCACACTTGGCGCTCAGCGCCCAGCCTACTTCTACACAGCTACTACAGACTACAAAAAGACAATGCAACTGTTGACATCAGCAGCAGCCCGAAGTACTTGAAGATGCCGCCCATGCAGACCATCGCCAATACAAGGTACGTGCCCTCACATCATCATCATCATCATCATCCTTCACCTATCCCCTGACTTCACCCACACCTGTCCTCTCTGTCACCCGAAGACCACCCCTGCGCTTCACTGTAGTCCAAGCCCACCAGCTATGGTGGCTGGGCTATGGCACTGCCCTTAGCAGCGCCCTCCTCCTCTGCACGACCGCACGTGCTGCACCTCGCCTCCCAGTGCTAGCAGCAGCCCACGAGCATCTGCTCTAGCAGCGCTGCCGCCAGCATGCGAGTGCCTGAATGAGGCTGCCTGGCCAGAGCTCTCTCCTTTATGGAAAAGAGCTGGCCAGCTCTCGCAGCCTGGCTGGGCTGGCCTGGGCCCAGCAGCTTCCGGAAGGCCCCAGGATGCTGTCTGGATGCAGCAGCTACTGGGCTGCTGGGCCTCGTTCGGTTGGGAGCCCAACTGTCTCTGTATGAGGCTGCGAATCACGCCCAGGGCCTGCATTCTTTGGAAAGGCCCGGTAGGCCGTGGAAATGTCTTCGGTACTCGGCCTGTGTTTCTTTCAACCAACTGGCGCGTCGCAACTGCCTGGACCCCAAATATGAAATTGACAGTCGAGGGCCTCTTGCAAAAAGCCAGGCCTGCCTTCACTTAGGGCGGGTAAGGCTGCAGACAGGGCCCAGTAGGCCTACCGAGGACACTGATCCTCGCACATTGGAATTTCCTCTGATAAGAGTGTTTCCAAAAACGCTGAAAATTCTGAAAATTCGCTGAATCCAAAATGTCATTCAAGTGCACTTTTGCCTTACTGTTTCACCCTGTTTTTATTTTTTATTTTTCGTTTTTTTTAATGGTTTGTTAATATGGTGTGCACTCTATGGAATGATGCAATTTTTGGTTAAAAAGGCCTTCTGGTTTTCTTATAAATAGCATTCAAAAAAC